CCCACGACCACTCTCATTCCCACGCTCACTCCCCCGCCCACCCCCCACCCTCAACCCAACGCGTCCTAGGCGTCATTCACATCATCGCCTCGCGCGCCTCCAACCTCGAAGACGTCCGCGAGCGCACCGTGCAGTTTCTCAAGGGCAAGGGTATGCACATCGTCGTGCATGTCGAATATGAAGGCGAAGGACGCTGTTGGTGTCGTGGTAGCGCTGGTGGTGCGGCTGGAGGTGAGGTTGCCGGGGCTGGTGTGAAGCAGACTTGATGGAGGGTGGGGTGGGATATGTTTAGGGTTGAGTTGGGATGGTTTGGTCTGGGTTGGGTTGGGTCTGGCTCGGTCATACGAGATGGTGGGATGGGAAACGGTCATGTATTCTTGGATAGGGATATGGACATGGCTGTGTATGATGGAAATACTCTGTATCTATACCGGTGGGGAATAGGCAAGGCAAGGCAAGACAAGACAAGACGAGACGAGATGTGCCATGTACACACGACATGGTACCAGTACATCAGGACTGCAACAAGGGGCAAGGTAAGGTCAGGTGTGTGTATATTTCTCTGTTCCTTCTCCTTCTACTTCTTACTTTGATCGTTGTGGGAATAACCCGTGTTCTCTGTTTCACGGATGTATATGTGTATATATTACATGGGCATATAGTCATGGTTTCTTTATAGAGGTGGGGGTGGTATGTTAAGGCGTGTGTATGTGTATGTGTATGTATGTGTTGTTTAGCCGTGCGTTCAGAGGGAGGTAAGGAGCAACGGGAGAGTAACCGATGTGTTCATACACTGGCTATACACAAGCTATATACTACTTCGGTCAACTACATGTGCCTACCGAGACGTACGCCATAAAAATGCGATTCCATTACCAATCATCCCTCACTACCACCCATGATTTTAAGCGAGCAGAGAAATAGCCATTTCAACATAGCACATCTGTCGTCCCCACGCACAACCACACGCGCACCGCCAAACAGAGCACCACCACCACCACCACGAAACCTCATCCCTTCAATCCACCCTCAATCCCCCCCTTCCCAAACCGATACCCAAAGCTCACACTCACCGCCGCAAACAAGCCCAAACAGAGCAGCGTCGGTCCCCACTTGTCATGATACACAACGGCCCTGCGTTCCCGAATCTTGGCCACGCGCCACAGATACAGGCCGGCAGAGTAGGTCAGCGCAATGACCGCCACGGCTGTAAACGCCCATGCAGCGGCCAGAGTGAGGGGGTCGCCAAAGTTGAGGAGGGTGGCGGCAATGGAGCCGATGAGGATGGAGAATTCGAGCCAGGAGAGGAAGGTGCGTTCGGTTGCGAGTTGGACTTTGGGTTCGACGCGGACGGGGACGTGGATGCCTGGGGAGGTGGGGTTAGTGATGTGCTATGGATGCGTGTCTGGGTTTGGGGATAAAAGCCCAAGAGAAAATGACTTACGTTTCCCCTTTGGTGCCTTGAAGCGTTTGACTTCTCCTTGTTGTTTCCAAGTTGGTACACCGAGGCTGAATCCGCCGTCGCCCACATCGGTAGGTGTAGGCTTTGGAATTATGGCTACGAGACCGTTGATTATGGCATTACCTAGACTTGCCGCCTTGCGTTCCACCCACTTTTGTGCATACTTCATGCCCCCCTCGCGTCTCGCAATTTCAAACTCATCCTCCTCATCGTCGCTGTCAGAGTCATAGATGGGATAGTCGTTGTCCCTCGCTCGGCCGGCTGCAACACGTTCCTCAATGTCCAGCGCATTGGGGTCATTGGCATTGGTAAGGGTCCCGTAATTCTGCGTGCGTGCCATTTCGTTCTGTTCCATCACGTCGCGCGCTTCGCGGAGGCGGCGGAGTTGCTCGTCGCTGCTGTTGGCTGGCGGGAGATTGCCCATGGCATCTGCATCTTCGTCGTCGCTATCATCGTCCAGAGTGCCAGACGTGCTGATCTCGTTACTCGCGCCTGGACGCTCGATACCGAATTTATGGCTGACGGGCTTGCGAATGTCGACGTTCATTTGCGGGTACCAATAGGGGATGAGGTTAATCCTGGTCGGATTCAGGGTCGCGGTGCCATGAATGTACTTTGAGAACTTGGGCACGGCTTCGACGAGGTGAGAAGAGGTGAGATCGCGGATCCACTGGGGAGGTTCGCCGCCGGCTTGGGTTTGCAGCTTGACTTCGAGGACGGCGTAGGGGAAGAGCTCCTTGTCTTCTTTGGGAAGCTGCTTAAAGGGCCAGTCTACACCAATGTCCATGCGGCGCCAGTTGTCGCCTGCGCGCGTCTTGCCGTCGAGATTGTCCTCGCGTATCATGGTAAGCTCGGTGTCGAGGGAGATGCGGACGCGGGCATCCCCAGGAAGCTGAAAGGCGGTGCGGTGGTAGAATGAACGGGTGACGGGTACCAGCTTGCGGGTCAAGACACGATACTGGATCTCACGGGCAAGCTGCTCATCGGCCGCAATGTCCTTTTCAGGCCGCTTCTGTTCCCTGCGCTCCTTTTCGAAGATTTGCTCGGGCATGAGTTCGCCGCGGAGGTAGGCATTCATGTTCTTCTCCTTGAGCTTGAAGCGCGCCTTGACAGACTCCTCGCCAGTCCAGTCCTCTCGATGCGTCTTCCTCTCGACAAAGATGGTATCGCTCGACATGCCTCCGTACCAGCGCATACGGATCGCCTCTGCGCCTTCGGTCTTCTTGAGACGGCCTTGGTACAGCTCCCATGTGTCCGTGTTGTCATAGTAGATGGAGGTGATGGCCGAATCCTCCTCGTTGAACTCCTTGTTAGGGTTGAAGACGAGGACGGGGAGGTGCTTGAGCACGATGAGCTTCAGCTCGAGGATGTTGTCGGGATGCACCCAGTACTTGGTCGTCTGGCGCACAAAGTTCTGCTGCTTTCCTCCAGCCGACGAATCGCCCTTGATGGGGTTGCCTCGGGTGCGGACAATGTCGTAGAGTCTCGAAAGCTTGACGACGTACGAGTCGTAGTTGTCTTGGAAGAAGGGCTTGCGCTTGAGGCGGGCGGCGAAGACGGGCTTGAGCACCCAGCTGGTGTTTTTCTGCCATCAGTCAGCATTGCATTGGCAGTCCATGCTCCCACACCTCCCCGTCTGCTATATACGCACATCATGCTTCTTGATGATCTTCTGGAAACCGGTGTAGTTGAGCTGGGTGAACTTGGCCAGATCATGGACATCGGCAATCACGTCGCTCAGATCCTCCTCGAGCAGATCAAAGTCGTCTTCATAGGCATCTTCGTGGCCTGGGTCCTGCTGTGCGCGCGCAACTGCGTCATTCACCTCCTTCTCCGAGGCTGCTATGCGACGGATAATCTCCTCGCTCTTGACGCGCTGGAAGCTGTA